AAGGTAAAGAAAAATGCCCCATGAAATCACTTCCAGGGGGGCAAATATTGCCCCTTAATGCCTCTTTCTGATCCTGTGGTCAACTCTTCTGCCCTAATTATATCTAATCCAATTACAAGGCGAATGCATGGAAAAGTTACCAAAGAATTAGACTTAAATAGGAAGTCTCACTTTTCTTTTCTTTCATTTCGCTCGCAGGCAGTCGAAGCAGTGGCTCGAATCGAAGCGGCAGCAAAAACAACGCAAATGCAGCGGCTGGAACGCAAGAGTCTGGAGGCCGATCCGGCAGCGGCAGCGAGTCCGAAAAAAGAGAGAAGGCTCCCAGTGAGCGCTCTGCTGCGGCCCCTAGCGAACACAGCGTGCGTAGCTCACACACCATCCGGAGCGTCCAGAGCCTGGTGTGTGGAGCGCCGGGCCTCCCTCCACAGCCACAGCCACAGACACCCTCCACAGCAGCGCCGGGCTCTCCTCCAGACCGAGACCTGGCCTCAGTGCCGCCCGAACTCACAGCCTCGCGCCAATCTTTCCGCATGGCCATGGGGAACCCCAGTGAGTTCTTCGTCGACGTCATGTGATGAGCTTCATGTGACCCCGAGGGTCGACCCACATGCTCAAGGCACTGTGAAATCAAGAAAGAAAGATGGGGAGGAAGACGAGAAAGAGATGCATTGACATTTTAGTAGCTGAGTGTCCCTCCTAATGTCCCTCCTGTGTCCTGTGGCTTGCACTTTCTTCAGTGAAGAAGACTGGAACAGATCACGTATCCCATCATGCCCTCAGAGACCCGAGGTCTCTGATTTAAGGAGACTCTGTGCGATGCAGTGATGAAGGTGAATGCTTGCTGGTTTTTGTGTACTTTATATGTACTTTACCTGCATTTTTTTATATTTTGTCCTCTGACCAGTTTATTAACCTCAAGTTAAGATCTGTTTTTCAATCAAAGATGAATTAAATTAAGCAGGAGAGAAAAGCATGACATGAGAAGAAAGTCAGGATATCTCTTACTTCTAAATCACCTTTTGCTTTTTAAGGATGAACAAATAATTTTGAATGATTTTAAAAAAGACAAATGCTATCAAAAGATAGAATCTTTGGCAATTATTTTATATTTATGGCTTTAATTTTCTGCTAAGAATTGTGGAGAGTGAGAGAGAAAAATAGTGTTTTTAAGTTTACAGACAGGACTTTTAAAGTCCGCCTTACTCTTTGGGTTAAAATGAATTTATTAAACATGATGCATGATGTTTTTTTTTCATCTCTTTTGTTGTTTTAATAACCTGAATTGATAAATTGTGCACATTAAGACCAGGGACATTTATTAAGTAAATCATTTGTTGATTTAAAGAACTTAATTGGGAGATATTCAGTCTTGTACTGTTATTCTTTGTAACAGTCCACCTGTATTACATGTGATGAAGTTCGAAATGGATCTTTAATGTTTCAATGTTATCAGCAGTCCTAAAGCAACCTGATGATGCACTATTATTATTATATGATGAAGAGCAGCTCCTTTCACTCTCTCACTCTTCCTCAAACAACACCGTACTTAATATGTTAATGTCTGTCATCATTAACTATCAGCACTGTGCTTCATTGTTTCTCTGTAAACCTTCCTTTTTTTTTTTTCTCAGAGGCATTCATCACATTTTTAATTATTGGAAACAGATAGTATTGAATGGTTCAATTTAATACTCGCTGTACACTGTTTTATGACAACACGAAACAAATTGTTTTATTTATAAATATAGTTTATTGCCTAAACACTGAGCGTGAATCTTTTCTGTTTTTTTTTTGTGAAAAGAAAATCACATTTATTCTTCTGCATCATGAAGACATAACAAAACCTTCTCTTCTAGACAACATAATGAAGCCCATAATTCCTTAAAACTTCCAACCAAAGAATATGTTTTCAGCAAACTGCCCCTTGTGAAAAGAAGTACATTTTAGCACACTTAAAAAAAAAAAAAGTACTGTAATTACAGAAGTAATATACTTGAGTGCAGAATTAATGTGATGTTTTCGGACACTTAAATGCATGTTATTTACAATTAAATTAAAAACTTTAAATATAATATCAAATAACACACAAGAGTTGAAATTATAATCAATTACTTTATATGTGCTTTAGTATGTTAGTCAATGCATCAAAATAAGTGTACTTCTTTAATGATTTAAAATGTACATCAAAGTAAAAAATTTAATTTGACATTATTACAAAGTGCACTTTTTAAAAGTATGTTGAGAAACAGGCATGAAAGTGAACTCTTTTTAAGTGCACTTAAGTGGCATTTTAGTATGACGTACAAGTGCAAATTCAGTACAGTTAAGCACTTCTTTTTCACAAGAAACACAAGGGAATTTTATATGTGAGTTTGGGGGACGTCATAACTAATCTCCACTCACGCTCCAGTTATGGTGGTACAAAATGATGGGTGGATTTTCTTGCAGTTTTATTCTCATAGAGAAAGTTTTCCCACACTGATTCTGACAGTCTGTCAGCATTTAAGGGAGAAGAATATATTTCATTCTCTTTGGCTCTCAGAAGTGCTGTTCTATGATTTATATTTCCACCGTATCAAAGGAAGATCCAGGGACAAGCCGTAATTTATATACAACTGAGACTGAACCACTTACACATGATGAACACGCTTCACACTTTATAAACAAACCTTAACCCTAAAAATGAAACTTTAGCACATAAACTGTCCTGCACTCTCATACTGAAAATCATGCAGCTTGTTGAGGAGACTAGTGGGTCTATATCATTATTCAAAAATAAAACTCCCATTATAGGGCTTTTTTTTGACATATTTGTCAGGTGCAAGAGTTTTTTGGCAACTAACACTAAAACACTGGCTTCTTCAGACCTCCACCAATGCGATTTGGTGAAATGTAAGGGAGTGATGTTAATGAACTGTGGGGCCCGGATTCATTTTGCTCTTAAAAAATGTCCTGGATTCCAGAAAGCAGACAAAGAGAAGGAGCAAATGCCAGCACAAATGATGACAATTCACTGTACGGTATATAAGAAAATGATTTACAGCCATTTGCTGTGATCTGTAACCCTTCATTTGACTAGATGAAGCATCATGCATCAACACACACATCTGGTCCTTCAACACACACATCTGGAGTCAAATCCACTCCAACTGTCTTCAAGTTTATTTACACAACATTTTAATACTCATTAAGCATGCGATGCCACATTTAGAGCAGAAGAGTTTGGATAGATCCAGTTATAGTATAGCAAATATACTTTTATTTTAATGTTCAGGCAACTATAAGAAAGCCATCTGTGGGCAGACTTTCTGAAGAGTGTGAACACTGACTCTGCTGCATTACATTTGTCAAAACTTTAGGGATTAGAATGGAAAACAACTTGTGAAAAATTATTTTTTTAGTTTGAGCTATATGTGTGTAATGGTGTGTGACACTTTACTATGGCATGAACATTTCATGCATTTTTACAACAGCGAAAATGACGTTGTATGTCAGTCAAAAATTTGGTGATTGCATCTCAAACCCCTTGTGAAAAAGAAGTGAAAAAAGCATACTTTAAAAAGGTCACTTAATATGGAAATAAATTATATACTTTAAAATAATACACAATTACAAACTGAATGTAAAAATTTTGGACACTTAAGTGCATGTTATTTACAATTACATAATAATGTATCGTAGTTTAAATGTATATTAATGCAATTAGTTGAACTGTACAGTGCTTTTCTGAAGCACTTAAGTACATCTTTATGTGTAATATGTATTTCTACATTGGAATTTGGTAAAGTAAAAGTAATGTAAAGTAAAAAATGTAATATTGGGTAACAAGCTAGAGTTAAAATTATAGTCAAGTACTACATTTTTAATATGAAAATACGTGTAGGCCTACTTCATTAAAGCACGACAAAAGATTATTAAAACAATGATTTAAAATGTAAAGCTTTTAATTTGACATTATTAAAATGCTACTTTTTTAGAAGTGTTCTTAAGTGTTAAGAAATGTACAATCTTTAAGTACACTTAAGTGGCATTTTATTTCATTAATACTAGATTATTTGCAAGTACAGGTTTTTTTTATGATATACTTTTAAGATTTGTGCACATTCAAAACAAGTACGCGCACTGTTTTTTTTCTTTCACAAAGGCATTTATTCTTTACTCAAACACGTACTGTATATATATGACTTTTTGTTACGAAACAGGGCATAATTTTCATGCATGTCTTCTGTAGAGGACACCAGGACAAACATCATGTTAATCAGGCGTTTTGGGGAAACACATCAAGTCAATAGGGAAAGAAATTATAGATCAATATTCCTATGAAATATGAGATGAAAATGTTGCCAAGTTAATACTCCCATTATTACACTTCTTTTTTCATTAAGGTTTGCCCCAAGAACACATTCATATGCAAATTAGATGCATTGTATAGAATGGGAATACCAATTTATGGACATTTTACACACAAATTGCATAAAGTAAAGTAAAATAGTATATCAAATCATTCTGTTATATCTTTCATAACATAGTTGAGAATCATCTTTGTAAAAGATTTGGTTAAAAATAGCCTGAAACCTAAAACCTGATTGGTGAATTAAAAAATAAAACACTGTTTTTGCCTAGACATGCCTTTTCAGTTTTTTTTTTAATAACTTAGTTCTGGCATCCTCTACAAAGGACATAGAATAAAATATGAATAAAAATATTTTTTCAAAAATGTTTTTTTTTTCTCTCCATTTGTTTATTATGCTCCAACCAATGTAATGACGTGAAAAAAACCTTTTCTGGTTCTCAGGAGAATATAAAAGCATTGTGTGTAGCATTTTGTTTCTTACCTGCTACTAAAGGCTTATTCTGAAAACTTTGCTTTCATATTTTAATTTTGTGCAATATAATTTTACTTGCGTTTTTAAATTTTGGTTTCACGCTTGTTATTTTTTTTTATCCGTGACTGCAATACATTTGGCGGGAATCTGATCCCATAGCTTATCTACATCTCAAATGACACATGTGAAGTGTCCCTTTTATCTAAATTACCTTATTTTCTTCTGTGGAGGTTGGCAAACCAAGTTGAGGTTGGAGTTTAGCAAATAACATGACCTAAGCTTAAAAAAAAAAAAAAAACAGTGTCTATGGGACTCGGTAACATCGTGAACCCAACATGCGTGCGCGTGTCCACTGACGGCTGCAGAGGGAGGGAGCAGCGGGCGACATCTTGGATTCATGAGTGATCGGTGACCGCAGCTTCTAACACCAAATACTCTCAATTACACGGAGCTTCGGTTAGAAGCGGACACACCTGTCTCTGCTGAGGCGGACCGGTCCGGTTCGGAGGACACAGAGAGACTGACACACAGAGGTGAGGGAGGGAATCCGCCGGGCGGGTCAGTCGTGACAACCGAGCGGGGCTAGTTAGTTAGCTTAACCAGCTAACCAGCCGGACGCGGGTGTTTTATGTTAGATCCATTGAAGGGAATGTGTTAAATGAATAACATTGAGTATTTGGGAACCGATAGTAAAAGAAAACGTCATTTAATGCGTTTAAAATCGTGATGGCTATGCGTTTGAATGGAAAGAGCCGCGGCTATCGCCACATATCTTTACTGTTAACTATTTCGGTCCATCTCGGACAAATATTTTAAATTAAATAATAAAATCTGTTTTATTGATGCTATGATATAGAAAGTAAATAGCATGTATTTATATGTGTTAGTTTTGAGGCGAGACAGACGGTCGCAGTGGGCTGGTCTGAGGCTCCGTCGGCTGAGAATCACGGAAAATTACATATTAATTAAAAACCATTATCGGACATAATAGAAACCTTATAAAATCCCGGACAGAATTGCCATGTGAACTCTTCTGTTTTTCCATCAGCAGCCATGATGCTGTAGAGCTGAGATGATATCATCATCATCAAAATATTCATCATGTTCTTATGAATATTCAGATATACTCGTAATGCACAGGAACGGTTGTGACAGGTTTTATTGTCGTGTTGTCAACTGGGGTGTAATCTTGTGTACAGGTTATGTAGTCTGCCTATATATTCATAATAATTTCACTCATAATTCATTGAAGAGGTTGCACCTGCATAAGGTTCAGGTTGAGTTTCTTTTAGCCAGATGTGTGTGTGTGTGTGTGTGTGTGTGTGTGTGTGTGTGTGTGTGTGTGTGTCAGTCAGTCACTGGGAATGTAAAACCTGACATGAAATAATCGGAAAAACTAATTTGGAACAGTTTATTCAACCTTTAGACAAAATATGAACGGTTGCATATATGTTTGCATATGTCCCTCAACAGCTTAATTTATCATATTTGATGAGTTACATTTTATTAATTTCATTTTTTATAAAAAATTATGTATCAGTATAGTAAGTGTACATCTCGAACTCGAAATATTACTAACAATATAAAGTTATTCTCACATTTACTTTTAAAAATCAATAAAGATTTCACTTCAAAAAGGCACATGAACCACAGCCTAATGAAAGAACACATGCGTGCGTCCGTTGGTGCGGTCTGCTCATTGTGTGTATAATTGCGTGTTTTGTTTTGTCTTCCTTATTGATTTTTCAGGGGGGGGGGTTTTAGCTTGATTTCTGCAAGGTGTATTTTTAGGTCTTTTCTGAGGTGTGAACAGAGAGGATTACAGGAGCTGGGTATTAGTGGAAGATCTTAACGTGTTTTCAGCAACTTTGTGGTTGTGCGATTTGAATCTCTTGTTAAGCCTCTAAGGCAGAGAAGGTTTTTTTGGTAAATTTTTAACAATTAACCTTGAAAATAATTTTTTAAAAGTCAAAGCTGTTGACTGTAAGACAGCAAACTTAAAAAATACAATTAGAATATTTAAATTCAATGCAACAAATATTATCATGGTGCGTACGTACAATTAACAATCTGTGTCCTTATTTTTTAATGCATTCTCTGTCCAGTGACTGACAGCTTGACTCCACCTCTTTCTTCAGTTTTCCAGCATGGCCCGTGAACACTGAGAGAGACCACCACCATGATCGGAGGACTCTTCATCTACAACCACAAGGGCGAGGTGCTGATCTCCCGTGTCTACCGTGATGACATCGGGTAAGTCATCGTAACGTGTGAAACGTGAGGTTGTGTTTCAGGTGTGGAGAAGATGGGCTTTGATTGCTTCAACAGGAGGTAGCTCTAGGTTGTGACATCAAGGATACGTGTCCTTCACGTTCATGCTCATGATCTGATGTGTTGATGTGCTTCCTTTTCCGCATTTCTTTTCCTTCCTTAATCACCCTGTCTGATGTCAGATCTGTTTGTTTCATTGGCCTTTGTAGGAATAATAGCAGTCAAATGTTCCATCTCCACCTTCAGCCATACTTTCACTGTTAGAAAGAGAAAAGAGATGAATTTTAGATCACTGTTAGAATTTTAGAATGAATTTTAGGCCTCTGATTGCGTGCAAGTTCTTTTCTGGAAGATCCTGGCATCCTTTAAAACCACAGAGATGGTCTGTTCAGAGAAGGGTTGCTATGGATACAGTGGGTCTGTACATCGCTGCCAACTCATACTGTCGCAGTGTGTGTGTGTTCACGCATGTATGCAGGGCTATATGAGAAAGAGAGATCATTAGATGAAGTCGCAGTGCGTGAGCATGTCGATTGTGCCTGGAGGAAAGGGAACTCTGGGAAGAAGAAGAGAGGGGTTGAAACAGTGTATGTAGCGTAAAAACAGACAGCTGAAATGAAGTGAGGATGATTTAGGGTGTGTTCACACTTGTAGTTCGGTTCTCTTGGTTTGTTTGGTCCGGACCAAAAAAGAAAACGATACATTTGGTCCTGGTCCGCTTAGCGTTCACACTGGCATTTTTGACAGCGTACCTAAAGGCATAGTGATACGTTCACAACCTGATTGGTTGGGTTGAATGATGTATATTTTGCGACGGAACTCGGCGAACACCCCAAACAAAAGCTGTGTCTGACTTAAAGTGGCGCTGCGCAGACCGATTAGTGTATGACATCAAAGCACCCATTCACCGATCGGTCTGCTCAGCACCGCTTTAATTCGAACACACCTAATGCCATCTGCTGGACTAAGCGCTCATTGTTGCCTGTACTTATGATTTTATTTTCACCACCTGCGAACTCACGAAGAGCTCATAAAAGCATATTAGGGTTAGGGGTGTGCATGAAGCGTGAAACAAATAACGTTAAATAAATGTCAGCTTAACATCGTGATGTCTGTCAGCCATCGGCGATGGACGATGGCATTGTCTATCAGCCCAACCCTACTCAAGATCTCTTCCATTGTTAATCCAAGTTTCTGTCCTAACCAGCTGTGAAAAGTTGCACAGCATTTTTTCGCTTCGAGAAGCGTTACAGATGTCATGAGTAGACAAGGCACCCTGTGTGTTTTGTGCTGTGCAGAATGAGAGATAACACGCTTTTCTCATTTTGTTGTGTGACGCTGCATTTTGCTTTCAATGTAATATTTGCTGCTGGAATCTTGTTGCACCTGGTCAGGACACTGTTTAGGGCAAAATCGCATGTATCCTTCTAGGAATGCTCATATTGACCATTTAACCGTTAACCGAAAATACGAATTTTGACGGATTAATACTATGTTAATTTAAATTGTACTTATTTTTGGTACGTTTTTTTTTTCCCAAGTATTTTTTAAAGTTTGCTGCATGGTGAAAGAAAAAAAAATGCTATACATATTTGTAACATAACACTCATGGGCGCGTTTCGACACATGCAGCGTGCCTACAGCTGAGCAAGCACCTGCTTCACCTTCACTTAGTTAACTGATGTAGTATACGCAGCACAATGGCAAGTGGCAATATTGGATAAATGGTTATCAGGTAGTGAATCAGAGAGTGAATCCGTAAGTGAATGTATTCAAATTCTGAATGGATTATAGCCTAAAAAGTGCGCAAAGAGCGCTCCCCTTGTAATCACTATATTATAATCACTTATAATTGTTGCTCTGTATGCTGTTTGCACGTTAAAATAAACCTGTGGGAAAAATTTTTTATTGTATTTTTAATGCATCACAGATACTTGTCCATTCTATTTTGATTTAATACTAATTTATGATTCTAATTTTATCAATTAACGGTTAATGTTTAGATAATGAGCGGTGTTTGTTGGTCAGGAAAATTAACCAAAATGAGCATCCCTACATCCTTCAGTAAGAACACCAATAATTCCTGGAGAGAGCTTTCCGTTAACATTCCCATTCATCTCAATGCTAGTTGCTTGGCTGACACAGAAATTTAATTAAAATTAGACTTTTGAGAAATTAGACTTTTTCTTTTAAGCAGTTTTTGGATGTGATATGTATTTTTGTGTGTATTAAGCCCAAAGTTTACTTTTTGTATACTCTTCTATTTTGTATTACTTTTTTAGTTTTTGTATGCGTATGCATAGAGTCGAACACGTAGCCTTTCAAAGTATACTCCATTTGATAGCGTGCGCGAACGCAGGCGGTCCACACATGCGCTCTAAAAAACTTCATCTTTGACCAGCATCTGCTGTATTTTTCTGCAGAAGTTATGACCGCCAAAAATGTCTTTGAACTCTTTTAAACTAAAGTTGTGGCTCTCTCATAAACCACGGTTACAAAAATCAGATGGTGTGCATATAGTACACATGTACTATTTTGGTGACAAAATTTGCATCACAGGCACTGTACGTGGTCCCTTGTGTACACGTAAAACCTGAAGTGTACTTTGGCCTTTAGAGTATCATGTTGTTAGTCTAGCAATATGCTGATGCAGAACTATTGAAATCAACTGTAAAAGTCACATCTCTTCTGCACTTCTCATTAGGATCAATATTACACGTTGCTTTCCATGTAGTGTGTTTCAATCAGTTACTTGTGAGGTTTCAATTCAGTTGAGGTGTTGTTTGCTCTAGCAGTGAGCTTATGATACTAGAACTATTTAGTGATTTAGCTGGATTCCAACCTGAATTGGAATAAGGCTGCAACTAACTTTTTTCAGTTAATTAATCTATTGATTATTTAAATCTACATCAATCTCACACTATCTTGATGGTCTTTCTGCAGGAGGAATGCGGTGGATGCGTTCCGAGTGAATGTGATCCATGCACGTCAGCAGGTACGCTCACCCGTCACCAACATCGCCCGCACCAGCTTCTTCCACGTCAAGCGCTCCAACATCTGGCTGGCTGCTGTTACCAAGCAGAATGTCAATGCAGCCATGGTGTTTGAGTTCCTCTATAAGATGTGTGACGTCATGACTGCCTATTTTGGCAAGATCAGCGAGGAGAACATCAAGAACAACTTTGTGTTGATCTACGAGCTTCTAGATGGTACGATGACTTTCCTGATGCGATACTTTCCTGAATTATCTTAAAATGATTACAAAAGTAAAAAGATATCTGCCAATATGTTGCTTGACTGTAACATTGATTATATTGCAGTTGAGTTTTCTTTTCCCTCCAGTTCCAGCCATGAAGTCTCCCACAACTGTTGTGCTGTTGTTTTTTTAGGTTTTGATTTTTATGAAATGGCGATGAGAAAATCAAAACCTAAAGAAAATACTGCACAGACAGACAGACAGACAGACATCTCCTCTGCTCTCTGAGATGGATGCTGTTGATTTACAAGTGAAGTCACATTTATTTGTATAGCACTTTATACAATACAGATTGTTTCAAAGCAGCTTCACAGTAATAAACTGGAAAATAACACTCAGTGTTTCACAGTTAATCAGTTATGAAACAAATTCACTTTCAGCTATAAAGCAGCTCTACAGAACTGTCATGACTGTACATTATAATGGAACATAAACTTAGAATCCCTTGTGATGCCTGACTTTTAAAACTCTGTGACATAGATTGATAAGCACAGTTTTCTTCGTTGAAGATGTTGACTTTTTTTTTCCTTTAAGCAGTAGTTTACATCCCTTCCCTGTATAAAACCTATAAAAACTTTACAGTGCACAATGGACAGAAGCAATGACACATTTAAAAAAAATAAAAATAAATTTGCCATGTGATAGTTGGGAAGCTATGTAAAACATAAGCATTAATGTAATATCATTTAAAAACGTTGTTTTACTTGAACAATGTTATTTATAATTTAATTTAAATACTTATTTTTAACAACATTTTTAGGAGTACACCAGTATATTAGATGACCTCAACACTGACAGACATGAACCAAAAGTTCAAAACCAAAATGCCAATTTTGACTTTATGGATTCTGTAGAGCTGCTGTATACTGCTGTATTAGTTCAACACAGTCATAGTTTTTCTCTTTGCCCTTACTGTAGAGATCCTGGATTTTGGGTACCCCCAGAACTCTGAGACCGGAGCCTTGAAGACCTTCATTACTCAACAGGGTATCAAGAGCCAGGTGCGTTCTGCTTGAAACACCAGCATTTGGTCCATTAGGTTTTCTAATATGTGAATGCTTTATGAAAATGGACAGTTAATATAGCTGTAACAGAAGTGTTGAAATCTGATTTTATGGAGCACAGAATTTGTTGAAGCATGTGGAAACTGAACTGTGTTAATGTTTCTGACACCTTCATCTTCACATCACTGCTCACCACGTGCCTGATGACCTGTAACTCACTGCGTCCAGCATCATGTAAGCACAGCTTTACTTATACAGTTATAGAGTGCTGCCGTGATGACGTGTTTTTGTAGGCCAGTCCGAAGTTATCCATCAACCGAAACCAAAGAGGATTTACCCATTGACTTTTGGAGAAAATAAGCTTGTGATCAACGAAGGCTTATGGTTCTTACACGTTTTGTTCATCATGATAATCTTCACAAATGAACACATTTATGAATGTAAATAGTGGTCGACCGATATTGGTTTTTTGACAGCCGATGCCGATATCTTGGAAAGCAGGGTGGCCGATATTAAGCCGATATAATTTTATTTATTTTAATTAATATTTAAGACATTTGAAATCATTTGAAAATGGACATTCAAAGATTTGTTCAAATGATTTAAATGCGTATTTGCTGAATGCTGATGGCAAACGAGACAGTATTATAATGTTTGCTTTTCTATTACTAATAATATAAAAGCAATCGTTATAATACTTTTTTGTGTACATTTTAATTCCTTTGTTTAACTGTTCTATCTGATTATTAGACAGACTTCTATCCGTATTAGACAGAACTGTTGACGACAGCGAACAAGAGGGAGAATGTGAGCACTATGTGCTCAGGCACTGCCGCTCTCAGCGCCGTCAAAATAAAAGTCTGGCGCGCCGTCAAAATAAAAGTGCCGCCTCGAAAGCATCGGCCAAACAGGAAAAACTTATCGGCCAATATTTGAAAAATGCCAAATATAAATAGGGCTGCACAATTAATCAAAATTAAATTGCGATTAGGCAGAAGCTGCGATTGTCATGCGTATCTTTCAGTGAAACACGGTTCTGTGATCAGTAGTAAATGATCACAGAACCGTGAACGAAGGCCAGAGGGCGCTCTCGCGCTGAAACTCCAAATACACAGAAGAAACCCAGGAAATGCCTATAGCGGTTGCTGAATAAACAGAAGATTTAACTGCTGTCATTAATTCAACGTGACTAATAAACACACGACTATGACAGTATGGTTTATCGGAGTTCGTCGTCTTATACAGAGCCGTAGTTCACTGACAAGCTACGCAAACAGCTTTCATAATCGCAGAATGATTTCTTTGATCTCATAATCGCGCGATTAAATCGTCTGCGATTATGAATGCGATTTTGCGTAGCTCGTCAGTAAACTACGGCTCTGTGTAGTAAATGTTGCTCCATCTGAAAGCATGTGCTGGAGATTTACTACTAATCACAGAACCGTCTTTACTGACAAGATACGCATGACAATCACATTCGATTAATCGTGCAGCCCTAAATATAAACGAACTACACTCCCATCATGTGACTTCAATGTCACCACCATTATGCTTCTGTCAGCTTTTTCCGTTTTTATTGAAAAAACATTTTCCTTGAAAGTTTGAATTGGAATAGTTTGCAAGAGCATTTTTCTAAACACAAGTAGATTGTTTACCTGTTCGGTGTGATGACGTTTAATGTCCCCCGACAACTTCTGTAGTCCCATTTAGCCACTTGTTAACTTAAGTCTATTACTGATGTAATTTATGTTGTAGAATAAACATGCAAATATCTTGAGCTTGTGTTAAACACAGACCTTATTTCAGACATTTAACCAAAAACCCTTTCCCAAAAAAAACTTTGAACAGACGTGCTAAAATGCTAACTCGTTTCTGGGTTTCGGCCTACAAATACATCATCCCTGAAACACTCTATACCCCACTTTTATATTTTCAAAGTTGTGTTCACAAAGCTTTACATGACAGCTTTCAATATAAAATATCTGACTTGTTGTTTGGCGGTGCTCATGTTTCTCTCACACTCCACACGTCGTATTCACTCATCATGACAGTAAAATAGGGCATTCTAAGTCAATATACTGCAGTATTTCCTCTCTCAATCAGTAGATCAAAATATGGTTAACACCCGGTCATGCATTAAAAAAAAAACGGTATAATTTTGGAAAATACCGTGATATAAATTTTTGGTCATACCGCCCAGCACTATCTTCTATTGAAATCTATGGCAATATTTTGTCCTTGAAGGCAATTGTTGTGTTTGCACTGGTTCATTTCAGTGTGACTCGGGCTCAAACATATATGACTGTATTACAGCGCTGACCATCTTGAGCATCAAAATACACGTCACTCATGCCGTGCGTGGATGCAGTGCAGTGATGTGGCTGTTTACTTGTGTTTTTGAAAGAGGTAACTCCACTTGAAATGACGTGTTTGTGACAGAGTGAAAATTTGTATGGAAAATGATGAAAACATTTTAACTTTTTAATTGCAACAAAACTTTGATAATCTGATAGGCTAACTTCCAGAAACATCTGAAAATTAATTTCATGACCCCTTTAAAGGGAATTTAGCATTGGCATTTGTGTCACTATCTCACAAAACTCCTGCAGTTCCATCATGAACCCCTAGAGGTTCACAAACCCACGTTTGCGAACCATAATTAAAAAAAGTTGAGGTGTCACATATTAATATATTTTTGAATCTCTCCCCTCCATTCACCTGTCATATAAGGACTTCTCACAATCCAGTCAATTCCTGATGAATCAAATGAATTGAATGTTCTGTTTTACTTGGAAATCCATCGCATTGTTGAAGTAAAATGGGTTATAAATGCCAGTTCACATTGACTTAAGGAACTTCGAATGTAAGGCCTTATGAGCAGAACATTTGGACACAATATTACAGTTTTTGTGTTTTTTGTGTTCTGTAACATCCTGTCTTGCAGTCTCACTCTCTCCCTGTTGCCTTTTGTGCTGGTTAGACTTGTGCCGGTATTCGGTAATGCGATATATCACGGTAATGAATATGCAGTGTTATCGTGGGCACTTCTAAATACCGTGAATAATTATATATTACAAATGATTCCGAATTTTGAATGCATTTTAAGAATACTTTTCCCATCAACTGGTCAAAATGCACAACACCGCTGTATGCTGCGTGAAAGACGCGTGCACTCTGATGTAAACAAGCGCGGACGAGAAGCACATGGCGGAACATGTGAGAGACGCTCTGGATGAAAGCGCACTTTCACTCTCTGACAGCAGATGGCGCTAAACTGCAGAAATAATAATAATAATAATAATAATTCATTTAAATGCAGCCGTTACCCCGGAAACCCTGTAAACAAAGCAACTGCACTACTT